AATTTATTTTATGTAAAATCTTTTTTTGATATTTTTTGAAGATTTATTTATTTTTGATGAACACACTCTTAAAATTTCAAGTGATTTGGATTTGTAGAAAAAGCACTAAAATTTAAATACTACCAGACATCTATGATCTTCAGATTGGCCTAGATTTAATTTGGGATATTGAGCTTATATGTTCATATGAGCTAGTTGGGCTAATCCTATCTTTTCTTATATATATATATATATATATATCATGGGAAATAATTTGATATGCCCGGTCGCATATGAATTTTCGTATGCCAACGGTTGTGATTGGTTTTTCCCATCATTTCGATTTTAAATCCCAAGAGCCCTACGGTATTGAAAAGAAACAACTGACAGCGGCATCCCATTTCTCCCTTTCGCGTGATGGGAACTCTCTCTCTCTCTCCATCTACCGCCCACCTCTCTCTCTGTAACTCATCTCTCTACGTCTCTCTCTGGCTGGCCCCTCTCTCTCAAACCCTCGATGCCCCTCTCTCTCAAACCCTTGATGACCCTCTCTGAAATCCTCTTTGGCCTGCAGCCCCTCTCTCTCAAGCTCTCTAAAACTCGCCCCTCTCTTTCAATCTCTCTCCTGCCTACCCCTCTCAGCCCCTCTCTATACATCTCTCGTTGCCCATCTCTCTTGTTTTGGAGTTTTGGTTGTTTTGGGTTTTGGGGTTGCCCATCCCTCTTGTTTTGGGGTTTGGTTGTTTTGGGTTTTGGAGATCTGATACAGTTACAAAGCCAATCGAAGTTATGATAGCAGCCATGGTTAATGTAGTCTTGGGTTTCAACTCAACAGCTTAGAAGCTCAAAACCGACAAGAATTCTAGGTAAAGAAGCTGCCTTTTTTGTGCCTTCTGGTACAATGAGCAATCTCTCGTTGCCCATCTCTCTCAACCTCCCTCTATGCCCCCCCCCCCCCACCCCTCCCCTCTTTCTAGAAATATAACCTAAAACACAGAAAATTTCAGAAATTTTAGAAATTTTCTATGCTCCATTGCTGCTGCAAAGGCGATTGGGACAATCTTCAGTAGATTTGAGGTTCAGGTACGCCATTTTTTATTCTTTACCCATTACTATTTTATTTTGATTTTTAAAGTCGATTTCTTTAATTTGTTTAGGATATTTTTTAATCGTTTCAGTGCTTTCTTTTAATCCTTATTTTTTTTATAGGATATTGTGTTAGTGCTTTATTTTGATTTTTACATATGATATGAATTTCTTGTTTCGGGTTTTGAGTTTTTGGTTGTTTTGGGTTTTGGGATTTTGGTTGTCTCTGTGCATAAACTTTGCTCTGAGATTCGTTCTTAACATGATAAAACAAGTTTTTTTTTTTCGGCCTCTCTCTCTCTCT